GAAGATGGTGCCGAGGAGGATGAGGACGAGGAGATGGTCAGTGTGCCAACGCTCACAAAGAATATCCTGCAGAAGTGGCAGAAGGCTATCCTCGAGGTACGTTTTGCTGGTACTTCGCAGACGAAGGCTTGGACACTGACTAGGATGTAGCAACGGTCATTACGCGCTCTCAGGAAGCTGCTCATTGCGTTCCGGTCAGCGGTCCATATGAACGAAGAGGACCAGGTGGTCGCTTGGTCCATCGACGACTCTGCAGTTTACAACAAACTTATCACTACCGCGTTCAAGTACACGCCAGTCATTCTCGCGCACCACTGCCCCTACAAGACCCTTCCCGAAGGCAGATTGTATGCGCTCAAACATCTCATCTGTGCCCCCTTCCTGACGTTATGTTCACAGCAAGGGACCTACGCAGAATCACAAGTGGAAGACGTTGCAGAAGCTTATTCTGTCGTATTTCCACAATGTGATGCACCTTCTGTCCCAGCTCACGGACGATGATATTCTCGTGATGGCTCTCGAGGAGACAGCGAAGCTCGTTCCGTACGTGACGAGCAGCCGCAAGGCTGTCAAGGTGTATTTGAAGGTACGCTGTTCTTCCATGCTCCCGAACACTCCGCTTACTGACGTGACTCAGACATGTCTCGAGCTGTGGTCAACCGCCGAAGACAAGGTTCGAATTGCAGCATTCTTGTCCGTCCGAAAGCTTGCGTCGTCGACAGACACATCGCTGCTTGACATAGCCTTGAAGGTTTGTCCTCGTCTCATCTCTTTGCATCCACCCCCATTGACTATATGCGCATAGAACACCTACCTGACCCTCGTTCGTGCCTGCAAACAAACCAGCGCACATACCCTGCCGTCAATTAACTTGATGAAGAACTCGGCTTCCGAGCTCTACACTATCGACCATGCGACTTCATATCCTCACGCTTTCGGCTACATCCGCCAACTTGCGATTCTTCTCCGCAACAGCATGAAGCAGATGACCAAGGAGTCGTACAAGCAGGTGTACAACTGGCAGTACGTCCACTGCGTCGACTTCTGGGCGATCGTCCTCGCGCGGGCATGCGACCGTCAGAAGGAGCTGGAGCGTGGAGCTGAGAGCGAGCTGCGGCCGTTGATCTACCCCTTGGTCCAGGTGTCTCAGGGTGCCATCAAGTAGGTCGGCTCAATACCTCGATACTCATATACTCATCAACTTCTGCAAGGCTCATTCCCAACGCACGGTCCTACCCCTACCACCTCCACCTCTCCCGTTCGCTCCTCCACCTCTCTCAGCACACGCACACGTACATTCCGCTCGCGCCGACGCTCATCCCCATGGTCGTCGCGCCTCTGACCGGTTCGTTCGGCAAGGGCGGCTCGCTGCGCCCGCTGGACCTCGAGACGACGCTGCGCGCGCCGCAGCAGTACTTGCGCACGCGCGTGTACGGTGAGGGCGTCGTTGACGAGGCGTGCTTCGTGCTCGCAGAGTATCTCGCGAGCGCGCCCGTGCATGCGAGCGTCGCGTTCCCCGAGATCACCGTGCCCATACTCGCCGCGCTGCGGCACGCGGTCAAGGCCGCGCACAAGCCCGCGAAGGGTGCGAAGGGCAAAGGCCGGGGCAAGGAGGCGGGCACCGTCAAGACGCTTGTCGACCGCGTCGAGGAGAGCGCGCGCTGGGTGGAGGAGCGGCGTCGCGGCGTCGCGTTCGCGCCTGGCAAGCTCGACGAGGTTCACCGCTGGGAGAGCAGCGTCAAGGTCGAGGAGACGCCGCTTGGCAAGTTCGTGCGCGTGCAGCGGAAAGCGCGCGAGAAGAGGCGAAAGCTCATGGAGAAGGTGCGTGCTGGTGTTAACCCCGATGACAGCGTCAGCTGACCATCGTCTCTAGGCCCGGGATGGCGAGGGAGAGGTCCTCGACGAGGACTGATAGCCTCAGAAAAGACCACCTTTGGTCAAACTCGCTGGTGCATTCTGGATGCACCTGTCATATCTCGCACGCATATTTATCACATATTGCACACTGCTGTCACCTCAATGCTACATCTTATTACCTGAGTCCACCCAGACATTGTACACAACAATGCTGTCTGACAGCACAAAAATATTTCCTCGGCGTTCTGGAGGGCCTGCGACCAGAACAAATGGGTCTGTAGCCCTGCGCGCAATGTTGACCAGTATAATACGCCTTTCCACGACAGCGTGAAGTTTCTTGGTTTAGTGGTCGACATTCGCCAGGTCGACTCAGGACGCGCCTACATCACTCACAACACCTTTCACCTCGAACCCTCGAATATATAGGGCTTCATGCAATATTCAGAAGCGCAACGGTTGCTTCGTGAAGGCTTTCGTGAGTTCGACGGATAGAGATACACAGGAGAGCAACAGTTGTGAAACGAGCAGGCCATAGGCTGGGTGGTCGAGGAGCTAGAGAGGGCTCTATCTTTCACGGCTCAGTGGTCTAGTAGTATGATTCCTGCTTCGGGTGCTTTCAAACCCAGCTTCAGTCGGAGCTTGAAACTGCAGGAGGTCCCGGGTTCAATTCCCGGCTGAGCCCTTTCTTTTACCTTTTGTTCCTCGGCTCACTGTGTACAGTAAGTCTTGCGTAGGCTCGTGAGCCAGCCTTTTAATTTTTGGAAGAGACGATTCCGTCGCTCGTATACATGTGGGGGGCCCAGTAGGGAGTGCCCTCGGAGTTTAAATCTGTTTGGCAGGGGAAGGCAACACTGCGGGACCAGTGCGGGTAGTGACGAAACTCATGCTCACTCTGAAAATCGCAAATAAATCGGAGAGCATTGTGGTGCAATCATTGGTTCCGTCCAGAGTATTTTCATGACCACTGAGCAAGATGTGAGTAATAGGCGGCGGGGTCAGGTCCCCCCTTACGTCCTGGCCTCAGTCCTGCGCGGTGCGAATGTGATAACTTGTCATACACTCCGTCTGTGTGGGTGATTTACCCTGGGGCCTGTCTCCTGGTGCTAGAGATCTGCCCCACAAACTGACCCGGTGAATGCCCGGGTCAATCAGGTATCCATATTGTAGTAAGCTCGGCTTTCGCAAAATTCTGGAACATGGGGATCATTCAACCTTGGTGGAGAATGAGGTCAAGAGATCGAGTTTGCCCCGAGGATCTATGTTACACTTGTTTCGTCCCGCTCTGGTAAACACTAAAAGAGCCCTTCCTGAGGATCTTCGCTCATGCGGGACAAGACATCGTAATGTCCAGGCCTACGCAGAACATCGGTCAGACGTGCTCCATCCTCCCTCTGAAATCAAGGACACACCTGTACAGCAGCGTCACCGGCTCGAGCTGTTCGCCCTCGCCATTCTCAAAGTTGACGAAGTTGACCGGGCTCGTGTTCGCGTCGCTCGCGCCTTTGCCGTGCTCGTGTCCGTCAAGGTACGCGACGCGCACGTTGACCTTGAGCGCCGTCGTCAGCGCGGTGATCTGGACGTGGTCTGCGGCACAGTCAGCGGGCGGGGGCGCACACAGGCAGGATGTGCGCACCGGCCTCCTTGCCCATGCACTCGACGAAGTGGTTGCAGAAGTCGGCGGGGTCCATCGGCTCCTCGGCGTACGGCACGTCGGGATTGTACAGGTACGGCGCGTAGCTGAACGGGTCCGCCTTGATCTGCGCGGACGTCACGTAGCGCATGTACATCATGATCGAGTTCGAGACTAGCGTGCGTCAGCCAGAAATCCATGTCGCGCAGCTAGAGTACGTACTCGGAATGTCGTTGAAGGCATCGAGGAGCCCGCGCTGTGTCAGCTTCGGCGCGTCGGGCTGCGCGTTGACGATGCGCTTCAACGTGTGCACGAGGGTGTCGTAGAAGTCCTCGTACACCAGTGCCTCGTAGCCGACATTCTGCAGCAGCTCAACGCTGCGCTGCAACGCGTCAAGTGTATCCTGGACCAGAGTTTCGCGGAAAGGCTCTGGGGCCTTCAACAGCCGTTCAATGTACGCGAACGCGAACGCTGCGAATGTTTCAACGATCCGCGCAGAAGCATAACGGATTAGACGTACCGCGATAGAAGCAGTCGCCTGTGATCAGAGTAAGACAGCGTCAGCCATGCCCGGAATACTTCGAGCACTGAAAGAGGTTACCATCTCCTCGTGTCCGGCGAACGCCAAGGTATCCTTCCTTCTCGAGCCAATTAATCTGCTTGACAAAGGTCTGGTTTCCGCGAATATACTCCTCCCGCAGGTCTGAGAGCTTGGCCAGCAGGCCCATTAGCGGGATGTCTGGTGACTGCTCAGCGTCCTGCATTGCAGCCTGATGCGGGTCAATATGCATGTCAGTCATCTCGTCGGCTTCGAACTCAGTTAGTTGAACGGCACCTGGTTCATTTCGAACAGCTCAGTGGGAGGCAGAGTCGATAGCTCTGTAAAGGAATGTCAGCGGCCAGAGATCATGTTTCCTCACCAACGCACACATACCGGAATCCGGGGCAACGATGCTATATCCTGGAAGCTCTGCGAGATCCCTCGTGAGCCTCCCGAGTACGCGGCCTTCGCAGCTGCTCACCATCCTTCTGTGGCGCGCGCGGAGGCGCATCGCCGACGTCGGGCAGGTCTCCAGCTTTCATCTTGGCTGCAACACGCGTGGTCAGGGCCCTTCCAACGTCTCTCTGACACATGCGCAACCCGTGTACTTACGCGGTGGTGGTGGTGGCGGCACAGAATCGTGTGTGTCCATCGTCGAGGGTGTGACGTCTTGGGCCTTCTCGGGGAGATCGTTCTGCATGTTTCGCTCGATCAGGCATCCGCTGCTCGGCGTCGCGGAGAGATCACCTTCGCGTTCGACGGCCTCTACACTCGCAAGCTCGATGCCGGAAAGCAGAGAGCGGATTGCAGAGGGTGTTCGGACGATCGCTATCTATTATGCCCTGCCTCGTGTTGTTCCTGCATGCTGTGCCATTGACTAGGACAGAACAAAGCACGGAGACGAGTGTTCGCATGTTGCGGATGCACGAGCGTCTGAGCGGTTATGGCGTACCCCACGGAGCTGAGTCACAAGGCACTATAGCCAAGTGGTTACGGCGGTTGATTCGAATTCGTTCGATTATCACCTCCTCTTTGAGGGCGCAGGTTCGAATCCTGCTGGTGTCGATTTTTGTTGATCTCCTCTGCACCTTCACTTTTTTCTTCTTACCTCGCCTTCTCAACTGTGTACACCATTGCAAATATTTATGTGCTCGCAACGATGTTCGTAAAGTGATGCAGTGCCATCAATGCTCCCGTGCGGGGAGAAAGTCACACTCGCAGCCAGCACGCAGGAACAACCGCCCCAGACTCCGCGATCCATACGTGGGCTATATAGCTCTCATTCACAGTAAAGTACACAAAATTAATCAATTAGTGCGGCTCCGATCTATACGTCCTGTCTCTGTGCGCGAACCTCACGCGGGGGGTGCCTCGGGCGCGTCGTGGGGGCCATTGTTCTTGTAGACGTAGGCGTCCTCTGTGGGCGGGTTGGCCTTGAAGAGCCGTCCGAGGCGTTCGTCTGTGGGCACCGAGTGTCAGCCACAAGGACATAGAGTGAGAGGGGGGCAGGGATCTCACAGATGGGATCCGAGTCGATGTGCTCGAAGTGCTTGAGTTCCCACTTGGAGCCAGCTGCGAGCTCGTCCTTCCGCCTCTGCCGCTGCTCGTTCTGCGATGCCATTAGCACAGAGCACGCCACGCTCGGTAGACGGAGCAACGCACCTCGATCTTGCTCTTCTCCCGGCTCGCCGCCTCAAAGTCGCCCTCGCGGATGCCCTTCGCGACGTAGCGCCAGAGCTTGCGGCTTTCCCACTCGCTCATTTCATCGACCGAGGCGACAGTCACCTCCTCCTTGGGACCCTGGACATCGTGGAAGACGCCGCCCGTCTGAAGGTCCTTGCTCGTCGTGTGCCAGAGGCCCTCGAACGTCTTGTGTGCGTTGTTCGAGCCGGGCGGGCTGAGCACGGCCTTGAACTGATGCGACTTGCCGCCGAAGTAGCCCTTGCCCTTGTACTCGATCTGTGGTGCGATGTTCAGCTCAGTGGACTTTGAACACCGTGCGACAGATGACTCACAGAGGACAGCCAGCCTGTGGAGCTCTGGATGTACGAACTCTCGGTAAGCTCGATATACGGCGACCCGTACCAAAGACCGTCGATGCGCAGGCGGGGAAGGGTGATGAGGAATTCTTCCTTGGCTCCACCGGGAAGATCGACGGTCAAAATGGCATGGCCGATCTGCTTCACGATGATGCTACCGCCTGAACGCGTGTACGTATTATTAGCTAAGTTCGTTGCACGTCCCAAGGAGCCACATACCAGAGAAGCTCGTTTTCTGCGCACTGTGACCTTGGAGCGCGAGACCCTTGCTAGCGTTGCTGATGTAGTACGCCGTGATGGGCGGGTGGTGGGAGACCTGCTCCACGACAAGGTCCGTCTTCCCGCGGCCGTTGATATCAGGCCAGTAGCCGTAGAAGAGCCTAAAGCGTCGCCGTCAGCGAGTGTGCACAGCGGGGCGTCCGAGCGCACCCACTCTCCAAGAACGGGGTTCAGCGGCCTGTCATGACGCAACACATGGTCAGCGGGCCCACTTCGGTAATGAATGATGCTCGTACGCACTTCTTCTCCGAGCCGAGCTTCTCGTTTCGCGACGTGTACTGGCCCTTGAGCGTGCTCTGCGAGGGGCCGTCAGCGGGCGAAGGCAGCGGGGCACACGCGGAGACGCACGATGAACCACCTGAGGACGGCAATCGATCGGTCTTCGTCGGTCTGCGCATCGGCAATGGCAGCGAAGAGCTCCGGGCGCTCGCACCAGTATGCTATTCAGGAGAATAGCTGTGAGACTTTGTCCGACGCGCATACATCGGCCAAGAGCCGCACCTGGGAACTCGGTGAGCGAGATGGGCGAGAGGATGAATGGCGGCGCGGTCAGCGATGAGAGATCGCCAGACACGGACGCGATTCTGTGTGATACAGGGGTGAACAAACGTTGGGCAAGGTTGGCCTCGGAGAGACGCAGTGGGAGATACGCACGACTTCAAGAACGAGGCCCAGCTGCTCTTCTGGGCGGCGGGGACGGCCTTTGTGGTTTTGGCACGGCGGGTCATCGTTGCAGGGCGATGGTGGGAGAGGATGCCGTCAATTTCCGCGGACCAGCGTGCAGAGTAAGTTGAGCACACACCTCGCCAACTTCGGTAGGGGTGTCTGACATGATGTCTGGGCGCAGTAGGGTGGGGTAAGTCGGTATGCGGGCGTAGGGAGGGTTGGGATTATGTGGAGTTGAACGAGAGTCTAGTGCGAGGCGGAGAGGTAATCCGAGCTATATATGCTATGTGAGGGGTCGCCGACGGTGCAGAGGAGGGCGTGCGCGCGGGACGACAAAGCGAGGTGGGAGAGAGCAAGAGCCAGCACGAGCCAGCACCGCAACGGCGCGCGCGGGCGTCTGTGCACGATCATGACGACAACAAGCAACAAGTCCGAAACGAGACCCGAAACCGGGCTCTTGACTGCCCACCCTCCCTGTGCCACGCACACATCCCCGACGCTCCTCACCGCCACACCGCAGCAGCCCCCGCAGCACGCAGCACGCCCTCGCCGAGTATTTAATCTGCGATGTCAGGTTCGCCGAATAAGCCCCCGTCCTCCTGCCTCGTACAGCAACAAGACGTCTCCGGGAGGCGAGCGACTGTATTGCCCCATGTCCTGCCTCGACACCGCGCTTTGTCATGAGCTTCTGCATCTCTATCACCGCCGACGCTTCCACGGGCGTGCCTGATTTGTGCCCCATCCGAGGGCGTTTGTGAACAACGCCACTTTGCCGCTCGCGCCGCTGATAGTGTCGCTGTGACTGTCCTGGTACTGGTGACAAGCGGACGGCGTGTGTACCGCCAGCAAAGCAGGCGCTGCTCAGCTAATGTGGTGTAGTATGCTCATGGCGAGGCAAGGTGCGGTTACAGACTGCACCGAAGGAGCAGCACTGCAGCGGCGGTCTCGCGTGGCGCCACACTCTTTCCTACTACGGCGCACCCCATGGCCAGCACCGCACGAGTACTATCTCCCTGTCTTGATGACTCCCCACCCTGAACGTCTGTATTAATGCCGATGCGCGGGCTCTGTTGTTTGCACATTTGCCTTGATCTTGCGCTGCGATCGTGTTCAAACGACCGATCCTCGGCGTGAAGACGAGTGCAAGCTGCAAGGCCGTACTCTCCCGCAGCAGCGCGGTCACCGTGGAGCTGCGCATACTGCGGCAGGCGCCACACAGAGCAAACGCCGACTTCAAAGCACGGCACAGCCGTGCACGTCCTCGCCGAATATAAAAGAAATAAATATTAGGAGGAGGAGAATTCCGTCGTGGTCATCGTCTAGTATTACAGGGTATGCTCGGCCAGAGAGGGGAGCGCCTCCGGGGAGCACCAAGGTAAGTACTAATACTTGAGTGGACAGGGCAGATGACGAGGGGGCATGACGAGGGGAGGCTACACACACGAAGAAGAGGAGGTCCAACACGGCTTTCAGTACAGCTGATCGATTACCCCGAGGCAGAGAGACAGTGGAGAAGGATACGGACGCCGGCGGTCGTGTAGAGGTGGCGCGCGGACGGCGAGTGGATTACTCATCGTCGTCCTCGTCGCCGTCGCCGCTGCCGCTGTCGCGCGTCTTGTTCTGCAGGCCCGAAGTTAGCAGAGGCGACTGCGGAGGCACGGAGGACACTCACATCGTAATCCTTCTTTTCTTGCTCGGCGCGCTCCTTGTCCCGTGCGGCCTGCTCAGCGTACGGCTACACAAGGAGTTAGCTCAGGCGCACACGACGTCGCTCCACAGCGCCCACCTTCTTCTCCTCGTCATCGAGCTCCTTCCACTTTGTGCCGAGGAGCTTGCCAATCTCGCCTGGAATGCGTGTCAGCGGACGGACAACACGGCGCACAGCATATATGGCGCACCGAAGCTGGCGTCAGGGTTCTCGGCCTTCACACGCTCCCGCCAGTCCTGGCTGAAGAACATGTACGCGGAAAGGGCACGCTTGGGCGCATTTTTGTCCTTCTTGGCCTTGCCGCGGGCAGGGGCCTTCTCCTTGGGGGCGGCCTTGCGCTGTGGGAGGTGCGTTAGCATGAGGTGCACATAGACGCAGGAGGGTCGGGCGACAGCGACAGAGCGCGAAAACACATGCGCATATAGTCGGACCTATGGCAAAAAGCGAACCACGAAAGCAAAAAGCTAGCCAAAGGCGACGCACGGCACGCCGTCCCTGCACCAGCACGACTACACTGCCCGTCGCAGCGAAGGAGGCCCTCGAGACTACCCGCGCTAGGCGAGAGCCGGATCTACAGTAGGACGCTGAAACACGACTGCAGGGGCCAACGATGACCAACGCATAGCACGCCGACTTCGCAGAGTGCGACAGTGCAGCTGGCCTTCGCGTGGTGGGACCAGAAAGCATCGAGTTCGAGTTCAACATGGCCCGCGCTTATCGGCGAATCCAGGGGGAAAGCAGTCGTAATCGATGTTGAAGGCGAGTGCAGGGGCCATGGTGGCCTCGCAGAACACGCAAGAGGGCGTCGAAAGGGGGGCAGGAACTCGCGGAGGCGAAAAGAGCACGATAAGGGCGCATACACTCACCCTAGAGGACTTGGTAGCTTCCTTGGGCATCTGGAACGACGAACACGGCGTCAGCACAGCATTCAACACGTCTTGGAACCCGCGCAGCGACGCAGAGGAAGTGGGAAACGCGTCCGACACGACCGCCGACGGACGCGTCTAGGCGCGTCTGCCCCGCACGCGCCCAACACTGTGCGGGGCGCAGCGGTCGACGACGGCGGAGGCGGCGGCGACGACCCTGTCGCCAGCAGAACGGACGTACATACCTCTGAAGAATATACGAGTGTGTGGTTGTGGGCGGATGAGCGAGGGAGAGGCGAGAAATGGAGGAGGGCAGCGCAGGCTGGCTGGCAGAGGCAAGGCTTTGGCTGGCAGTGGGCTCGCACTGAGAGGGCAACGGCTGTTGGGCGCGGCTTTTGCTGGCTGGTGAGAATCGCTGCCCCGTCAACTGCTGACGTAATCAGACGCCCGCATCACGTGCCATTTCCTCCACGCACGGGCCCTCGCCGCGTCCCCTCCGCCAATCCG